CTTCTGAGAAAAACTATTAACAAATAAGAACTAAAAACTTGATTGAGATGATGGAAACTATTGTAAGGTCTATACAGTCTCTAAATTCCTTTTACACCTTCAATAGAATTGCTAGTTTCATCTATTTCTTTACTGAGTTGATGAAATTGACCACTGTTTGAGAACTACATGCCTGTATATACATTACCATTGGATTATTTTTCTGCAGTTTTTCCTCTTGGGAAGAATTGTATTTTTTTCTCCCACCTCCCTGGAATTTCTTGCTGTAGTGATCAGTATAATGGATTGGAATCTTGCTTGGGGAATTTGTGACACTAATTCTGAATCTTGTCAGATTTTTTTTTAGGAACTCTGATCCAGTGTAAGTCTTTTCTGGAGAAGCTGTTAGATTCAGTCATGAAAGCCTGGCATGGAAGCTCTCTCTCTCTTTCAGAGCTTCACATAGAGAAAAGTATCAGCAAAACCCAGTGCCTGTCAATTAAACCAACACATCACATTTCAGCTCGTACTGTATTTATCCCATCAGTTGTCTGGATCAATGCAGTATAAATATCAATCACAGCAGTAAAATGCCCGTATTAGGTTAAATAACGTTATACAAGTGAGAACCATCGCTTGAGATAATTTTTTTTTTTTTTACTTTGTATCTGGATGTATAGTAGGATACCCCATCACCATTTAAGAATAAAGTTCCACTTAAAATTTTAGAATAAATTAAGAATTTCTTAGTGGGTGCCATAGTCACAGTGAACATCCTATTTGACAAGTGGAATTTGCTTTTTTCTTCACACACGAGGTTTGCCTTTCTGGTCGCGTTTTCTGGCAGGTGTCTCCCTTGGAATCCATCAGCAAAGATGTTTCTCTTAGGGACTGAAGTCTGGAAATGTGGCTCTTAGCAGGAATATACTGTTATATACTAGATTTATTCACCTTGTTGTCATATATTTTTACCACGCAGATATGCAGTTAAACTGTATTTTTATCAATGACAGCAAGTACATGATGATACAATTAAAAGGTTCCCTATAAGCGAGGAAAAAAAACAGCACAAATAACCTGCCCAATGGCCTCTCCCCGATACCCCTGGATGGTAAATTTCTTCTTATCATACATTAAGAGTATACTTTTTTATCATCCTGATTACATTTTTCTCAAAGCTTATAACCTGCAGGGTGTTCAAATACAGAATATGCCAGATTAAGTTTTAAGCTTTCATTTCTTGAATTATATGCAATTCTTTTTTTTTGCCCCGAAGGTATGATGGCCTAAATTTTAGTAGACATTTTAAACAAGAACAGGTACTTGGCACGTGCATATACAGACCACTCTGAATTAGGGAAGATCGACACGGCTCTTTGACCTGGAGTGGTTAAATGCACCGTTAGAGACACGTACCTAAAAGGACTGTTATGTACAGTTAATGCTTTTGCTTGATCACGAGTCTGTCTTTTTCAGCAGGTTGTCTCTTTTCTGAGAAAGGTTATAAACATCAAGGAAAAGTGTACTAAAGAATAGAGAATTGATTAACGTGACATATTCAAGTTTCATTCTGCTATTCTAGCAACAGCACGTCAGAGAGAGGCAGCTCCCAACACAGTGAATTAAATTTAAATCACACACTTTTGGCTAGAAAATTGTTCAGAGGGTTCAGCTTCCAAACTGAAATTTTATTTTCCTCCCTACACTTGAGCCCCTTCCCAATTGTTCATACGGTGATGATTTCTACCAAGACATCTATTGATTTGAGATCTTTCATTCACAGGACTATTTCTAGCATTTAATTTCTGAAGAAAGAAAACATGGCAATCAGGAATGTATATTCATTACACTAGGAAGAGGATGTTAAAAGCTAAAATATAGATTTCAAGGGGGTCATATTTGTACAGTTATTTTTTCTACTATACAAGGGCTATAGGAGGTACAATTGTCAGGCATCTTTTATTATTTTAGGTATTGTTTTCTGTGAAGGGTAACACTGAGAAAATCTGAACACTTTCTGTTTTCTGTGGAATCCTTCTAAAAGAAAATAGGTCAGCTTACAAAACAAAACTTAACTTGTATCGCCTAAGTAATTTAGTCTGCAAGAAGCACTAGCCACTGAGTCACACATATGTAGGCCAAGGGTTTCTTTTAAAAATCCGTCCTTTTTATTTCTAGTTGATGTTTGCCTTCAGAAAGATTAGAGTTTAAACCTAGATAGTAAAAGATGATACTTGGGGCTTGGCGTCCATAGCACAGTGGTTATTTCCGCGCCAGCCACATATACCTGGGCTAGCAAACCAGACCAGGCCTGCTAAGCAACAATGACAACTACAACAAAAAAATAGCTGGGCATTGGGGCAGGTGCCTGTAGTCCTAGCTACTGGGGAGGCTGAGGCAAGAGAATCACTTAAGCCCAGCAGCTGGAGGTGGCTGTGAACCGTGATGCCACAGCACTCTACCAGGGTGACATAATGAGATTCTGTCTCAAAAAAAAAAAAAAAATCTGATACTTGGTTCAACAAAATACCAACATAAACTACAGTATTTTGATATAAATTCTAACAACAGAGACCTGGAGTTGAGAATAATTTATATGTACAGGTTTCAGTTTGATATCTAAAATTTCATAATTTATAAAGATGTACACAAAGATTAAATGAAGTGGTGCCAACATCATGAGATTTAAAGACAATATTCATAATGCTGAAATTTAAAAAGAAAAAGAAAAAGTTTATAATGTCATCCTATTCTAGGTACTTCCCGTCTGCTAATTTAACCCTTGCAACAATAAATACTATTATGCTCTGTATATTTTTAAGATGAGAAAAGTAAGGCACAGAACAGTTTTTAGACCTTTAAAGCAGAGTTTCTCAATTTGGCACTGCTGACACTTTAGATATTCTTTGCTGTGTTAGAGCGGTCACGTGCATTTCAGAATGTTTAGCGGCATCCTTGGTCTTTATCTACTAGACACCGACAGTAGCAGACTCCAAACTCCTAATCTGAGCAACCTCAAATATTTCCAGACTTTGCCCAGTGCCCCTCCAAGTGGAGGAGAGGAAAGAGCAATATCACTGTCAAGACGGGAGCCATCAGTTTAAAGAATTTAGTTACGTCCTCTTCCCCTAAGCAAGAAAAAAACAGCAATAGTAACAGCACCACTATAGTGATTTCATCAATACACAGTATTTAAGTTTCTTTAAGGAAAATGAGAAATTCTCTTACAACCTTGATATTAATTTGAAAAAGTATCCACTATGGTTGAGATTAAAGGTAGCTTCCCACTAGCTTACCAGTAGCTAGTGGAGAGCTGGCTGATTTTCTGCTCTGGGGTGAATTGAAGCAATAGGTAAACCTACAAGAGCACATGATCTGGTAACTTGGCATTATCAAGTCTGTTTGGATATCGTTCAAAAGGAGCCTGGGTCTTTGCCTTGTAAAGCTCACTTTAAGGAAAGGCTTGATGACTGTTACTCCATTGCTGACAGTTTTCATTGACATGGTTATGCTTCCAGGAAAACCAACATTCTGAATGTCCCCTTGTAAAATAATAATAGCAAAATGAATGAATCCAGAAAGTCTCTCACTGTCTTGGAAGAATCAAGAGAAGAATAACAAGAAATCACCTTAAATGCTATTTAAAGTCTTATGTTTATTTAAAGTCCTAATGGGAAGCATTAGCATCTGAGGAAATACTTTCCTCTTAAAGACCCTGCACTTGAAAGATTTTTAAGCCTAGTATTTATCATAAAAGTGCATCACCTCTTGGGTCCATTTTTCAAAATGCCACCACTTTCTTAAAATGTATTTATTCATCTGTGACATCATTAGGTGCCCCTTTCATGAGAGTAAACCGTATCATATTTCTGCTTTCTCTGTGAAGTAGAACCTGTTCTCCCCCAGTTCTGCTTCTAACTGAGGACTGCGTAAACATTGCAGTTCTGGGTTCTCTCTAACCAGTGGATCGCAACCCCTTTTTAACAATGAAAATACATTGCGGCCTTAGGAACGTTGAGAACCACTAATCCTTAGCAGATGGGATGAGATAGTTTTCATTCTTGTGCCTTGGATTCCCTCTGTTTTGCCTTAGCATGAGCCAAACCTGATGCGAATCTTTACAAATCCCGTGCAGTATCTCTACTGAGGTTACTGCGGCTCGTAAGTGGCAATAAAGGACAACCGATGGTGCTTGTCAGTGTGTTACTTGTGTGACTAACTGCTAGGATTTACACACTCTGCTTTTTATTACAGTGACAGTTGTCTTTTCACTGTAAGTGCAATGAAGCAACTAGAATGTCACAGAGAAAACTGTCCCCTCTTCCCCGCCCCCACGCGGAATAGACTTTTCATTTATTATGAAAGGACAGTGGGGAGACAGTACTTGCTATGTGAACAGTACTGAAGCGAGAGTCAACCATGAAAGCCTAACAAAAATGGAAAAGTACCTGAAATGGGCTGTATTTCCTTCACTTTTTGCATCAGTGGAAGATCTATTTAATTCTCTCCTTAATCCGTGTTTCCTAATAACAACAAGCTATATCTCAAAGACTCATCCAACTCCACCTGCTTGCAAATGTAAAAGGTTATGGCTGTTCTGCTTTGAGGAAGCCAAGCACAAGTACTACATAAAGCCCACTGATGCATACCTTGTAGCACTCCGGGGCTGTAATAAATTTCAAATCATCTGTTTCTGCCAGGTTGTTTTAGACCTTTGTGTGCTACTCTGTGTGGCGCTCTCTGCAGCTGAATGGATGCTTATCTACACGTTGGCTGTCACTATTTCTATGTCCTCATGTAAAATAGGGTGTAATCACGTCTTCCCAAATACGCAGATAACTTCTGTGTGGTCTTTAAAGTTCACAAATTTAAGGTCTGTGTCTTTGGGAAGAAAAATATTGAACTTGCTTTCTCAGTCTGTGAGGTGTAAACCGCCTTTCAATTGTCGATGAGACAAAGATGAGATGAGAGGCTCTGTTAGGACCCTTTAAATTAACCTGCTGAATGTGATTCTTTTGCAGACCACGGATGACATCCTTGTGGCCTCAGCAGAGTGTCCCAGTGACGATGAGGACATTGACCCCTGTGAGCCGAGCTCAGGTGGGTTAGGTTAGTCGATTTTTTTTTCTTACTTCCTTGGCTTTGCTGTAAATCTCTGTTGCATGCTATACTCCTTACAAGAAACTTAGGCTACATGTCTAGAAATCTCCCTTAGCAGATAATGGCTCATTGTGAGATAAGGGCCCTTGCTTTTAACATAGAGAAGTTTTGCCATATTTATTAAAAATTTTTAAAAATCAAACCCATTAAGATTATGTATTTTAGAAAAAGCAGGGGGGAATAGCACACAAGGCTGCTACCTTACTGTTCGCTTCCCATTAGTTCAGGATGTGATTTTTGTGTATAACAATATAATGGGGTTTCCCTTGGGTCACTTATAATAAAATTGTAAAGCTAAAAAAATCACAACACATTGTGGAAAATTACTTCACCTTTCTGTGACTAAAAAGTCCCCATCACTCACTCTGCCAACAAATTATCTAAAGCGATATATTTTTCTGAATTTCAGAAGTGAGAGAATTATGGATGTAGTAAAACAAACAACAGGGAGAGTCCTTGATAGACTTGATAAAGAAAGGTTTGAGTCTTCCCTAAAATTCAGACTGGGGCATAATCTCTCCTCTTCCTCTGTGATGTGTTTGCATCTTACCTGAAGTGACTAACATGTAAATATCGTTTCCATACAGCCCTTACATCACCTAAGTGGTGGCTGTTGACCCTGAAAATATATGACTCAAGAGATTTGAATTTCTTTCTAAATATTCATCATCACAAGCATTAGGATCATTTCTATGACTTTTCTTTGTTAAAGCCGTGTTGCCTAAAACTCAGTAATTTTCTTGTGTATGTTAATGAAATTAGTGAGGTAGATAGGAACTAACCACCATTCACTAACACTTGACCTCTATGCCACCTGGAATCCTAGGAGAATTCATGCCACAATAACATAACTAATTTCCATTTTTCTGAAGGATACCATTTTAGAATAAATCTACTCATTCTGATATTTGGGTACAAAACATTTGAAGATGTGTACACTGCATCTCCTTTTGAGTATTGCATCCCCCACTAATTATAGCTCCTGACTCTGAGCAGTTGGAGAGCAGCTGCTGAGTGTCCGGGAGGACAGAAGCTCAGTGCTCACCTCTCAGCCGGACAGGGCCTGGGGAGCAGAGCAGGCTGTGCTCTGGTCCCCTTCCCTCTAAGCTCCACAGTGCCAATCTAGACTGTCAGCACCAGAAATGTCTGTCATACACCATTTTCAGATCTCTGATGTTCATCCATTCAATTCTCTAGCTCATTGATCTCCTACAACCATGCCCCATTGGTTGTCTGGATAGGTACAGGGACAATCTCTTCGTGACACCACTCTCATCCCCTATGCCAAGACCCTGCCTTTGTTTCATTAGTATTTTCACTATTTCTGTGTCAATAAAAAAATAATAATTCATTGCTTTTTTGTCATTCTATCAGTCCATCTCTCTGCCTTCTTCTGTCCTCAGTTTTCCTCCCATTTCTCCTATGCTCACATGCCCAGCCTTTCTGGTGTTACCTTTTCATACCAGGATGTTATTTTGTATCTTCTCTGAGATGTATGAGTTGTTCATATAAAAAGGCTGGTATTTATACGTAGGGTGGGAGTTGTTTGCCGTGGGTTCTGTTCCCCCAATTAGTGTTTTCTTGATGGCCAATGCTTTCAGTATTTTACATAGTATTAACACAGTGATGAAAACTAGATAGGGTCTTACTAATTGCAGCACTGCTGATTTTTCTTTGGCCTGAATCCTTTCGCTGGGGTCTGAGTGTAGGCCAGCATCATCTTCAGACAGAGCCTTTACCTTAAGCACCTGGTAAGTCCAGGGCAAGAGCTCTAATTGCACTTAAAATTATTTTTTTTTCTTCTTGAGTTCAATTAAATAATCCAGTTCTCTGGCCATGGATTATAGATCTTATTAACCATTCCTCATACACTAGTTTTACGGTCTCACTTTTTCTTTGGGGACAAGAATAGGATGGTGGGGGGAGAAGAAGGGGGAGATAACCATTCAGTCCTCTTCTCCTTTGTATTCACCTGACTTTTGCCTGTTTTGTTAAACTCCACAGCACAACAGACAGCAAATAACAGCTTGTTAATCACCATACTCGGGATAACCTTCCTGCGTCTATTTTCTTTACCACACAATTCCTATCTGAAAGAATCACATTTACTGATTTGTTATTCGTTCATTAATGCACAGTTGCATCTCCCCACAACATTTATAAAGAAGAACCATGTTTGCCTTCCTGCCTGCCTGGGCTTGTTATACAAATTTTAGTTCTGTTCTACCACACTGAAGTCTGTTGCTCAAGTGTAAGACACCGCAGCTACTGGCTCTTTCTAATGACAGCTACTTTAATACCCTTGTACCAAACCTAGTTTAACTTCTCATGCTCTCCCTAATTGTTTCTTTCCTTGCTTTGTTTCAATTCATCAATTCCTATCAATAGAAAAACTGTCAATTCTGTTGGGTCAATGGAATCATTTGCCGTAGCTGGTCCTGTGTTCTTATCTCACCTGGTCATGATAGTGTATGTACCATGAGTAGTTTCTGTCCTGCAGTTGGTAAATTAAATACCTTTCTGCAATAGTTTTCTTTTTTGTCCAATGCTCTATAAATTTTTAATACCCATTTTTAATGTTTCATAGAGAATTGACAGAATTGGTTCTACTGAGGTGACAATTTCTAATGAAGTTCTCAGTTTATGTGATTTTTTTTTTTCTATTTTCCAACTTTTTTTTTCCTGGTAAACCTGCAGTTTTTAATCCTGTTTAAATCTGAATATTGTTTCATTATAAGACACCCCTCCTCCAGATTCCTTAAGGCACCGACTTTCTTCAATCTTTTTCCTGCTTCTTCTTCATCTGGAATACAACTATAAAATAATATGGACAATAATTATAGTTGCTTCTGTGATTGGACTTTGAATACTGTTAGATGTATCTTGATAAAATCATTTCAGATGTCAAGGCATATTTTGGGATCCTAACTTTTTAGAAAACTCAGATGTTTAGCTGTATTGCAAATATTTAGTTAGGTAAATAGTCCAAAATGGACATGTGTGCTATGCACATGTGCTTCTTCTTAAGCAAGTGAAAGCAGATCTTTGGAAGGAGACGCATAATTACTTTTACAGTATGCTGTCCAAATCTTCTGGGCATTTCACATCCCCTAGGTACTTACACATGAAAGTTTTCTCATCGATCTGATTCTCTCTCCACACTCAAAAAAAAAATGGCTTTTTCTCTGAAAATGTGCCATCTTCATTAAGTACCCTCCTAAGGCTGTTAATAGAACAAACAGGAAAAAACTGGCATCTTCTTGGGCACTAATAAATTATTTCTTTTATCAAGTGGGTCCCATGAGAACTCTTCATGAAGAGGGGAGTTGTATTTTGGTGGGTTGCCTGTTTCATCATTGATCAAGTATTACCCAGTCCTCCTGTGCACCCACTCATGTTGCTCAGCTCTGAAAACAAAAATAGAAACTTCATCATACCTTGAGTTCTCTTCTAGCAAAGGACATGCTTCATTCTACCATAGATGCTATCTTAGTATTTTTTTTTTATTATAGGTACATTACTGATGACATTAAAGTTTACCTATTTTTCAGAGTTATTGCAAAAATTAAAGTTTACATCTTTAAGGCCCTTACTACAATACCTGACATAATGGAGACCATGAACGGTGGCTTTTCTTTTTCCCAATTCAGTCTTCTAAAAAGACTATCCAAGCTATTTTTTCTCTTTTACATAATGCTGTTACTTTTCCTGGCTGAAAATTGGTGGGCAACTGATGAAACCACTCAGGTCTCCTGATGGGAACTGAGCATGTTGGAACGAGAGGAGGGTCAGCCTCCCGGGTGGAAACACATGGACCTCAGTTACACTCGCGTCCAGCCACACTGTCCCGCGTGGTTAGCACTGGACCATGACTTCACCTTAGTATACACAGTGTTTTAGAATCTGAAAGGGTGGCTGTGCAATCCAGGAGGGCTAAGTGAACACCAAGTCTTAGTTGACAGGTAGAAATCTGAAACAACTTTGACAACAAGGGCACAGGCCGCCCTTGTCCTAAAGGGCTTGTCCCTAGACATGTGACAGACGGGTGATGTTGTCTTCACGATTTTTCTCCAAGACACTTGCACCTTCTGTGATTTCCCCCCAGCCTAGAGATGTGGTTATTGGAATAAATGAATTGATGCATATGAAAGCATGTTATAGAACAATGTCCTGCTCATATTGTGTTATGTGTTTGCTGTTATAACTATTTGCATTATATAAGCATACATCTTTTCTAAGACTTCTTTTCACATAAATGTAAGTTGCCGTACAAACAGGTTTCTTTGAAATGTTACATTTTAGATTCACTCAGTTCACAAATTTGCAACACAGCAAAACCACTTCCAAGATGCCCTTTAATCATGCCAGCATATCTTAGTTGGAGAGCACTCTTCTAAATAGACCCTTTCTGAAAGCTGCCGAAGAAGTCTGAAAGAGTGATTTTTTTATGTTGATATTTGAGATGTTAGGAAGATAATTAATGATATGAAGATAATGACCCTTTTAGTACAAAAGCTTCCTAATGAATAATTCCAATTTGTTATTTGTTAGAAAGAGAACAGGACTAGCTTCCCATTTCTCTTTAGGAAGGACAATTTCCTCTTAGATGTACAATTCTGAGAATACTGTCAATTCTCTTTGTGTGTGTTGGGGTGGGTAGCTAGTAGGATATTGGGTCATTTCAAATCAATTAAACTTTTGTCAACTAGAAAAAGAAGAGCTCCATTGAATGGGACCTGCTTAGTCATGGGAGAAGAAAAGAATCATTCATTCCTGTGGGGGTTTTTTTTAGCTAAAATAAAAGAGATTTGGTGATCAGTACAGTGACGCAAACACAATTGCTGTATACCTGTGAGATTACATTGAGCAAGGTTCAGATTATATAAGCCGCGGCAGCTACTGACTAGTAGTTAGAATAGATTTATTCTGTGCTTATCATT